GATGAAAAATGATTTCTTTTCTCTAACCGACTCGAGCCCAAACCCGTCTTAAATATTAACCCAACAGCTTTACTTGAAATAGTTAAATCTCGTAACCATACAAACAAAATAGGGGCGATTCGACCCCTATTTTGTTTATTTAACTTTACAGTAGCTATAATTTGAGCAAATCATATGAGCAAAAATATATGAGTAAAAACTAATTGTAATTTTTCTTATTGTAACGTTTTTATAGAACAGTGGTTATTTCTTCCAAAATATATGTTGCTGATTTTATTGTTTAAATTGTTTAAATGACTTAAATTTTTATACAAATTAGCCTCTTTTAGCTGATTTATTTATTTGCATCATAATAAGGTATGTTTAAGTTGGTAATAAATGTAGAGTGATAATTTTTGTTTTCAATTTTGCGCAGCATTGCAATTTACACAATAATTTTTTGACCTGTTCGCCTTTGATTTTAATTGCCGGCAACGTTACGTTAAATTTTAAGATAGAGTGAAAATGCTTGCTATTATGGTAACACTTCTATACTAATACATTTTTTCATATTTCTCCCGAAATACTTAACGAACTTCAAAAGTGTTTAGATCATGCGATTTCTCTTACATATCATTGAAGTTTAAAGCTTCTAGAGATTTGAGCACCGACAATAAATTACAAACAGAAAAAAATGTTATTGAACACCCCATGCCAAAAAATTTTGCATTAGATTTGTAAATTGTGAAATTTATTTTGGTGATTAGTAATTAGCTGAGTTAGTCATTGGTAATAAGTTGAAGCAATATTTACACTAAATTTCGTAAACCTAGCTTAAATATTTATGAAGATACAGACATTTTTATAAAAAATAAGATTTTTAGAGCAATTTAAAATTAATTATAAAATTTTTGCTTTAGAGCTTGATAAAAATAATTAAAGTATTCTTTTGTTCTGCACATGCGCGGACATTTTCTGTATATATATTGGGTTGGAGGGAAAGTTCTGTCGTCAATCAATAGTGATGTTTTGCAATCCATGTTGGAAAATAATCCACATTTAACAAGTCGACAAATTGCAGAAGAGTTTGGCATTCATCATACAACTGTTGGAGATCACATTAAATCTCTTGGGTTTGTGTTAAAGCAAAGTGTTTGGGTTCCACATGAAATAACGGAAAAGAATTTGTCTGATCGTGTAAGAATGTGTTCATCNATATATATATATATATATATGGTAACGGAGCTATACACAAGACGAAAAAAAAAAGATAACGATTATTTACTATAAAATCATAAACTAAAATTTAACGGGTACAGGTGGGCCTGGGGCCCTCCTATTCTTTGGCGACTTCTAAGTACTACATGCGAAGTTTACAATCTGAATTGGGGTCATCACTGGCTAATAATTATTAATTTTGGATAGCTGAGAATGTAATTCTGACCGACAGACACCCGAGAGAAGGAACTGAAGCAGTTGCTGAATTAAATTTGATATTTTCCCTTTGTAATTCTAATATTATATCTGTCATTAAATTTTCTGGCTTCGCTATTCTAGGCATCTTTATAAAATGTGGCATTTAGTTTTGTTTTGTGTTGTCGTTTACGCCGTCGATATTTAATCCTTTGATCTTTTTATTTTTGACAGCTCCAGGCGTTCCAAGCGTTAAGATAATTTTGCTTAAGTTGTAATATGTTGAAATATTGTAGCGTGTAGAACCAGAATATCATTCAACATCTAAGAAACCAGCGTAAAAATAATGGCCAGAAAATTTTTTGTTTGTTGCCCTTGAAAGTAATTGCTCTTCCATGAAGATAATAGGCTATAAATAATAATGGGCCTGACCTTCTACTGATTTTGTGTTCGTATTTACATATAACTGTTCTTCCAGTACGAGTAAATTATTAATTTCAATATAGTCCACTTTTTACACATTAAGGATAAAAATAAGTACGGACTCACTTTTAGATGACTTAAAGAGACACACAGAACATTTCTTGTTCAGTCCCAGCACAATTTTACTTAATGTACAGTGCGCAAAAAAGAAAAGAAAAAAACTTTTGCATGAATTAGCTTCGGATAAAAGAATTTTAAAAATCGTGTGCAAAAATTTTTCAATTCACATAAAAAATTTCTCACGATATAGCCAAATATGCAAATAGGTAAAAGGTAAAATTAGCATTAAGGAGTCCAAACTTTGGAGCGCTCTCCTAGCCAAGCTATCGGGGCAATATTTCCCAGATTGCCTTCTATATTTCGGGGGTCAGAAATCTGAATTAGTCAAAAAAGATATGTATTTATTCAAAGAAAGTACGTTTTCGTAGCTGATTTCGTACCTTAAAATATCGTCTGCACTAATTGATTCGCATATTTGAGGTCTACCCCTCGAACCATTAAGATTGAGTCCTAGAACGCGGAGATTCGATCATTAGATCAAAAGTTATTAAGTTTGCTCCGTTTTTTTTAAATTTATTTATTTATTTATTTTTGGATTACTTTACAGTTGCATTATCTAAGTACAGTACGAGTTAGCTTAAGGGGGGAATAGATCATGATGAAATAAAGTTTTTTTTGCAAATGCGAAGAATGTGGTGCTTCTTTTTTCTGTAAATCAAATAAAAGAAAATGCTACCATTAGTGTGCTATTGTCAATGTAGTGTACTCTTAGTAAATCAAACTCAAATGATAAAGTAAAAAAGTTCGAATTATGAAAAGTTCGTAAAGGAATTATGAAACATTGAAAACAGGAGAAAAAGTATGAGTTTGAATTGTATTTTACAAAGATTTAATACGAAAATAAACTTTTCCATTTTTATTGCGATCTACGTGTTGGACAACAATTTAATGTTAGGAAAATTCATCAGAAATAGATTAAAAGCGTTTAGGGCAGCATAATAATAAGCCGCATTTTCAAATAGTTCAGGAAAACATTTTCGTTTCTTTCTTTTCTTTTTTTTGCGTACAACATGATTTTTATGCTGGCAATACGAAGTTTCAGTTATAAAAGAAGAAATTGCAGGAAAAAAAATGTACCGAACGGAAAACAAGATTAGGGAAAAATACAAATGTCACCTTTGGAAAAGTGTGGCTTATCACTATATATATCACCCAAAGCCATTTGTATATTTTTATTTGCAAAAGAAGAACCACCACGCAAAAGAAGAACCACCACCACTAATTCTGTGATATCAATTTCTGAAATTGGCTTCAGTTCACGTTGTTTATAAATATTTTGATTTTGAAATTAGTTTATTGTCAGAAAAAAAGAGAAAAAAAGTGATAAACAAATATAGAAAATAGTGAAATTTTCTGATGACTTTGAATTGTACGTATTTGAGTAGAAAAGAGTTCATTGTAATGAAATTTTTAAAAATTTTTATAGATGAGACTTTTTGTCTTAAAACTTAAATTTCTGAAAGCAACTAAACAACTTAAGTAACTTTTTTTTTTTTTAAATTTCTATATTCATTTGACAATAGCCTTTCTTGTGATTAAAGCCAGTTGTGGTTTCCAAGTTTGTGTGTGATCAAGCTTTCTTGTGGTTCCAGTTTAAAAATCAGTTGTTTAAATCTAAACACATGAAACGCTTGTATGTAATAACGTAAATTGATTAAGTTAAAGATATTTAAAAATGGATCAAATGACGGTATAAAATACCGAAAGTTTGGGTGCATTATCCGTAAAATCCATTTTTACCGTGAAATATACTGCAATTTTTACCGTAATATTTATTTAATTAGAGTGATTCACAGTAATTTTACAATTATTATTACTGTAAAAATTACGGTTTATCAAATTTCTTTTCCGTAACATATTCAGGTAAAAAGGAACTTTCCGGTAAAAGGTACCGGTGTCCTGAGTGCAAGTACTTTTTGAGAAACACTCTTTATGTGCATCAAGTTCTTTTTCGTCCATCTTTGTTTCATACCCTCAGTTCTAATTACCTTTTACAACGAAGAAACCCATAAATCACAGATCATTATTTTTTCCTAATTAGTTTTTCCGCTTATTTGAAAGCAGGTTGTCCACATTTTTATTCACCTCCATATTTTTCCTTAAGCCACTTTCACCTTCGTTTTAACAACAAAGTAAGAGGAGGTTTGAACTTGAATACAAACTTTAATCGGTCACTTGGATCATGACCTTAACTTTTCCAATGGACCTTGTTGAGAAGTTTATTGTGACTGTTTGTGAGACATTGTTTTGACTGCCTCGTCTGAATGAACTACAAAAACTTTTCACGAATTCGGGTTTTTTTTTTCTTCCTTTGAATGAAATCTTAAAATTTCTCCCCAAACCTTTATTAAAAACACAGCAATATTTTACTTGGGTGGAAGGCAAATAAAAAATATTTCAAATTTAAAACGCAATTGTGCCACTTTTTAAATTTTCAAATGATATCTCTAATAGGAGATAACTTTTTCAACTTTCTGGGGAATTTTATACTTTTACATTGTATGGACATGTTATGACTAATATAGACGCCTAACTTTTTTACAATAAAAGTCTAATTTAATTTCGAAAGATTTTTGTTGAACATAACCTATTTGCGGAAAACATTAAAAGATTCGATTCCCAACGGCAGAAGACCACGGCAGTGTAATAAATGGCGACTGGTCACATAAATCCGTAAAACAAAGTCCTCCATGTTCTTATAACAAACCGTACCTTTGCGGCTACTGAATTAGAGATTGATCGTTCTCTGATTCAAGTCAAAGTTACGATCTGAGGAAAAAGGAATTAATGTATGAATGGGCCCGCTCTATAAGTGGACTGTAAGGTGTGTGTGGCTGAAGTCGTATTTTTGGCCATAGATGGCGCCACTGAAAAAACAAGAAACGCACCCTCTACCTTAAAATTGCATGGTTCCACCAAGCAGGATTGCTAGTATTGGCAAGTAGCATTAAAAATAACAACAACTCTAAAAGAATTGAATTTTTATTCTATTTATTATGCATACCTGCTAGTAATTATGTCCATTCTATTTTATTGTTGCTTAAGCTAAAATTTATTTACTTTAGGTATGGACTTTGAAGAGGGAAAGCAAGGTGGAACATGGCTAGCAATGAACACAAGTGGGCAAATGGCATCCCTTCTAAATCTTATGCAGCCCTTGTCACACTTGGATGGTACGAAGAGAGACAGGGGTATGACATCAGAGCTCATTCATTTTGTTAAAAAAGGAAAAGAAATATACTGTCTAACTTGTTATCGAATTACCTGATTTTCACGTAATGAAATGTAATACCAGTGGCTAGTAGAGACACCCTTTGAGCATCCTAGTTAATTAATAGTATTCATGAAATGATACTCAAAAATATACTTTTTCTGTAAAAGCGTAACTTTTTATATGAATGAGTTATATATGAGGCTATTGGCAAATCGTCCAGTTAGTTTGAGTCGGCAAGAAACATATTTCGTGCAGCAGGAGTATTTTACGATGACCACAATGTTTGCTGAATTCAATTGTAAAACTCGCTAATTCGAAAAAAAATTCAGTCGTAATTTTTAATTAATTTTTTTTATTAAGGACTAAAACGTTTTTCAAATACAAGGTATACAAACTATTGTTCTATAAGACAAAATTATTTAAATGACAAAATTCAAAATTTCGAAAAAAAATTGGTTGAATATTTCCCGTGAAATAAACATTTCAATAAATAACATTTGCCGTAATGTATTTTCAAATTTACTATGTATTTTATTTCCGATTATTAGATTAAATTATTCAAGCAGGATAATAACTTTTACTACACATCGTAATTTTACATAATGAAAAAGTTTCATGACCTGATAAAAATGGATAACTGACACATTATTTTAATTGCTTAAAACTTTTCACGAATCAATAAGTGTTTCAAAAACTTTTTTTTTCTAATAGTCTTGATTTTTAAACAATTAACCGATTTCTTTTCTGGTTTTGCAGAAAATAAAAAGTAAAATAACTTCTATCAAATCGTTTGAAAATCAAATTCAATAGTTCGAGATTTGTTTATGATATTAATATTGTTAAAATCATATTATCAAATCAATGTTATCATATTTATTTCTGCTTAAAGGTGCTTACAATTTTTTTAGTATGCAACTCATATACCGCAATTACTTCCTATCTGAGCTCTACGTGACTAACATGAAGTATTAAGCTGGAATTTATTTTTAGTTATTCTTCATTGTCTGTCATTTGTACATTTTCCTTATTTTTATTTCAATGGATTTTCTCGAAAGTTACGGAGAAGACTTTATTCGAATAGAGCTTGTAAATCAGTTACAATGTAGACTTTATCTAAGTCAGTACGCTTCTATCACTATTCATGGTGATGTTGTGCAAGAAAGAATTATGTATAAAAAAAGAGAATAATTTTAGCTTCGATATTTTAGGATAAAAGCCCATGCACATACCACACAGAGCTGAAGTTTTTGGTTTGTGATATATAAATGATACCTTTTAAATTATTATTTGGTGGTAAGCAATGTTTTCTATTTGAAATGTAGATTCAAACACATAGAATCATCGTTAAAAAAATAAGCAAGTTTTGGAAATTAAGCAAAAACTACTTCTTTTTTTTGCAATCAGTTTAAATGTACAAAAATTTGTTTTCTTTTAATAAATTTTTTTACGATCCACTTAATACAAGGCGCGGCTAAAAAAACAGGGACAAACTATTTTTAATATAACTTTATTAAAAATAAATAAATTAACAAAATATATAGCGAATAATAATAAGATGAGACTTTTATTAAAAAATAAATTTTATTGGTTTCATGGTTTAATTGCAGCGACGCTTATTGAATTTTTCAGCAATAGGCCACAAGAATTATTATAGCTTTAATCTATCCTATTCTCACCGGAGCGATTGCTTAGAGAGTCCAAACTTTTGCGTGGTTTAGTGCAGACCCTAGACTCCAAAACTGACCATATGCTGTAATTCTTGGGATTGAGATCTGGTGAGTAATTTGGCGGTTTCTCAGATGACATCATGTTTGGAAAATTCGCCCAGCACCACTCTTGTATCTTTTTGGCCTTCTTGTGAGCTGGCGTGGAGTTTTGTTGAAACGTCATGTTTATATTGCGAAAGTGTTTTTTGGCCCCCAGGAAGTATAACACCTTCTAGAATTTTCTGGTAAATTTTTCGATTTATTTTACCAATTAACGCCCTCATCCATAAAAAACCAGAGGTGTTTTGCCGCTTGCGCAAATTACAAAATAACTGACTTATTTTTGGGCGAGGATCAACAAATGCCGAGATGCGTCAGACCTATCCTATCATTCTGGGGGTTATGAGCTTGTTGAACTGTAAAGAGCATCACATCAGTGAAAATGAATCTCTACGAGCGGTTGCGTCCTCTGCAAAAGGCAGCCACTATGAAACCAATTAAAATTTATTAGTAAAAGTCTACTCTTATTATTAGTTATATTTTGTAAACAAATTTTTTTAAATAATTAAAAATTGTTTCTCTGGTTTTCGCCGCACTCTGTAGATAATGATTATTTATCAAATACCGTTTTTTTTAATGCCTTTTTTTTTAGAAGTGTAGGAAGTTTCCGGTTTACAAGAGATTCCGCAGCACTGGTCCTAATAATATACAGCCGAATTCTTTTTGTAATTAGTATAAGGATAAAAAAAATTTTAAAATTAAATGGTAAGATCCAGCAATAAATGGGCATTATCTATCAACGATCGGAATATTTTTCTTATGCATACTTTACTTTCCAAGCACATACAGTTTTTAATATTCAAGGAATTCCTCAATCACTGCTCTTAGTAATACACTATTTATTATTATTTATATTTTTAGTAATTAGTTTGAAGAAATCTTTTATTTCTCTTTAATTTCAATGGTAAGATCCACTTAATAAGTAAATATTATCTATTACCTATTATTAATTTTTTCTCATGTTAAGCATTCTTTTCCATTCGTATGCTGTCTCTTGTATACAGTATACCCGTTTACAGTTTACAAGATCTTGTGCAGTTGTTGTATAGTATACAAGGTTTTCCACAATTACTACTCTTAAAACACATTTTGAAAATCCTTGACAAAAATAAAGAAAAATCATGCACGTATAAGGGGTAGCAACTAAATATTTAAGCGCGACCAAAACAAAAATATTGTCGTATTCTGATAAATATTTACTGAAGTATCCAGGGCCGAAAACATCAAAACCTGTTTTATTACCTGAAAATATTGAGAGGAGTTGAAAGAACAATTGTTAGAAACGTTTTTAAGTTTCATCCGGCATTCAAGTAGACTTTATTTTAAAATCTGTCTCTTTTGATAGTGGATTCATTATATTTCATTAACGTCTTTATACCTCACTTAAAATTTAACTTTAAATTCCTAATATGTTTATTTTTTCGACTAAAGTTTCGCTAATGATATTGTGCCATAAGAAAACACAAATAAGGGTAATAAATTATTTATAAAAATTATTAATTGATTAATAGAATTGTAGATATTTTACAATTTAATAGAAAAGGTTTACTTCTCGATATTATATTATTACAACGACATTTTAGTCAAATGAAAAATGATGAATTTATAGGCCGAGAAAAAAAATCAGTATGATGGAAAGTACGATTGCCAATGTTATTCTCGCAAAACCTGTAACAAGGGTTGATGTTCTTCAAAAAAACATCATCAGAAAAATGACATTGAAGATAGTATACATCCTTAATGGAAATTTTGGCGCTGTCACTAGAAGAATATAAAAGAAACAAAAGAGAAATAACATGACACCAGGACAAATACGTCAGAAATAAATTTCATTTATGTTAGTGGAGTTAATGATATCTTTTACATTCTTATCTCAATGGAAGAGAGATGATTTGGATCATAAAGTCCATAAGAGAAACCTACAAAATGGTCGTCATTTCCATAGACAGGATAAAACAAGGAAAGCGAAGGAACACCGCTGTCATCCCAGCAGGCACAGCAGGATATGTCAACATTCAATTCCTTCAACAACAAAAAAAACAACAAAAAAAAAATTGGAGAAGATTGTGCCCCTGTCTGAAGTCCAGGAGAAGAAAAAAATCACAACAATGACAATGGGTAAGGTTGAATTTAAAGAGGGAATGTCTACTGCATACTGGTAAAATGTGCGAATGTGGTCTTCGTGGGGAGGTTTCGGGATTTATACAGGAGCTTATTTCTTCCACAATATTAACGTTCTTAACGAACTTATTTTTGCCCCACTAAAATAAACCAGCAGATTTTTATTTTTGGAAAACTCAAGCAAATGAGTTACAATCAACACCGAAACAATGACGAAATCACTCGTGCTGATCAAAGAAGCTGGCAAACAGGTGCTGAATACGAAATTTGAGCGAAAGCTGTCTAATAGTTCCTGAGAAATCAAATTTTGAAAAAGTCATGTTTTTAAAATTCGATGTCTCAGGAACTATTCGACTGATTTCGCTCAAATTTTGTCTTTTGACACGTAAAATTATATTCTTTGAAATGAGGCAATTTCTTGAAATTTTGAATTGTATACCTTACAATTCAATATTTTTCAGACTATTATTAAATAAAATAATAAAAAAATGATAAATATTGAATAAAGCTTTTTTTTTTTGCATGGAATTATCTTTGGATAAACAGATTTTATAATTGCGTGCAGTTTTTTTTTAAATTTGCTTAAAAGTTCTCAAGATGTAACAAAATACGCAAAAACATTAAATTAAAATTAAAGGGTTCAAACTTTGGAGTATTCTCCTGATAAAATTATTGGGACCATATTTTCCAGCTTGCTGCTACCCCCGATATTTTGGGGGTCAGGAACCTGAATCCGTCAAAGAAATTTTATTCAGGGAAAGTACGTTTTTGTGCCGAATTTGGGATCTTAAAATATCGTCTGCCCTTATTAATTAGCATATTTGTGGTCGCCACCTCGAACCATTAAGATTGAGTCCTAGAACGAGAAGATCCGATCGTTAGATCAAAAGTTATTCAAGTAGTTCTCCTTTTTCTTCTTTTTTGCACACTGTACAAAAAAAGCACAATTAATGGAGAAATAGTAACGAATTCGCTTAGGAGAAACGTGAAAAGTCGTCATTGACGTCAATGTTGAAAGAATTGAAAACCTTTGCATGATTGATGAAATGCGTTCTTAGATATGTCAATCATTTCTTTTGTATTTGCTAGT